GGCTGTTCATGACTGCTTTGCATGGGCTGTGGAATGACGAGCTTTTGTCTGCTCATTCCTAGGAGTTCTTGAAACAATAGATCTCTTCTGTACCTGTTGAATCATAACTTGGGATTAGTACAGCTCTAATTACAACAGCGAAGACAGTACTTATTTGGTAACCTTTGGTCATGGTGACATTTCTAGAGGCTACAAGGAAAAAGATATAAAGTTTGAATAACACGTACCAATAATTTCTGATATGTGTAAGTAGCTGGAGGAGGGGAACATACTGCTGGGGAAACATTTTTGCCAGATAAAACATCACACAGTCTTTCTTGGCAAGCATAGAACTCCACTGGTGCATTACAAAATAATAACAGCCTCCCCCCCCCAATAGATTTTGCATATTTAGTGATTCTGACAAATTTGAATAAATGTGATTTATTGTTATTAATCATAATGCATATTTAGATAGCTCTTTTAATTTTCAAAGCACTTTATAAATACGAGTTTGTTAACTAGTCCTTGCAACAGCCTTGTGAGGTGCAGAATTATCCAAATATTAGAGGTATATAATGGTGCGCAGTGCACCGATTTCCAGCAACTTTTTAACAATGCATTGAAGTCTGATATATGACCTGTATCCTTATATTTCTGGAATATCACACAGTGACATATATGTATCTAAAATAAGTGATTCCTTCTATGAAAACAAAGTAGACATATCACTTATGTGTGTATAATTCTCTTCCAATTCATTTTCTCAAAAATTATAATTTAGTTGTGCTTGAGGTAACAGTCAGGAATGCCAGCAGTGATGTTGGTGGGGATACTGAGGTGCAAGACACTAAGCTCATTTTTGTGGGTGAGGGAAAAAGGCTAGTTCCTATCTCAGGTGTTTTGCAGTCCAAAAATATGATAAGAGACAACAGATGGATACAACAAAGAGACAGAGACATCACGAGGTTACAGTAAGAGGATTACAATTACTATAAGAAGTGGTGGTCATAGCACACCAGCTGTTTAACCATTCTCAGATAATTTTTTAGTCATTGCAACAGTGAGAGTAAGAGTATTATTTGAAGGAAGATGACAAAATGACTAGGCAGACTTTTTTAATGTTTCCACATGCAGATGTAAAGACATATGGAAAATACCTTCTTAAGAAAATGGGATTTCACCTTTGGTAAAAACAAGGTGAGAGCTAAGGATTCTGATTTACTATATGAAATCATGATGGATGAGACAGGGATAAGAGATAAACTGAAGTGAATTTGGGTCTGAAGTGAAATGCAAGGTAAAGGCATGCAGTGACAGGGAAGTGAGGTGACAGGAGTGAAGTGCCAACACAGAAGATGACAGGTGTGTTTTGATAGAGCTGTTTGGTAGAAGCTGTTGCAGTTCTGAGGCTGTTTCAAACTCTGTAATGAAAGCCTTGTGTTTCTTGACTGTGCTACAGGAGGTTGTGAGGACAGTCTTCCTACACTAACTTTCTGTGGCCTCCATGACGTGGACACCAGTACTATGCTTTGCAGCTATTTTAGTCCTGTGCAAGAGTGGCTTGCACTTTTGCTTGTTGTTCAGCTCAAACACTCCCTGTGTTTGCATATGTGCCTTAAGACTCAGTTGAAACACAGGGAAGGAGTGAAGATTTACATACCGCATTAATCTCTGATCAATGTGGTCTTCATTCTTCACTGCTCATGGTAAAGCCCTCTCCACATATCACTCCCGAGGCTACAGATTCTTCCCCATATTGCCATACCAGCCCTTTCAGACAGCCTGGTATGGTAGTTGCACATATCCCCACTGCATACCAAGGTGTAATGTAAACATATACAAACCATTTTAAACAGGAAACAGCCTTGTTGTGGTAGCACTGAGGTCTGTGCAAATTAATCTGTCCTTTGAAAAAGGCAGTAACCCTAATTTGCGTATTATTTCCAGTGTAAGGATTTGGGTTTTGATCAAGCAATTAATGTACTTGATGGGAGTCTTTCGCATTGCCTGCAGTGGGCTTTGGATTGGAACCATAATCCGGATGTCTCACATGCATATACATCCTTAATTAAAATTTTCTAAATTACTGTTACATAATGAGTATCCCAAACCTCCTGTGAAGCATTTCCAGTTAAGCCAGTGAAAAAAAATGCACTCGGTGTCTTGCCATCACAGTTAACACGAAGTAGAGCAATTCTCTGTACTAAGACAGGTGAATTATTGGTTCACTGAGAACACTAAGTGAATGTCCTGACTTTTGCATGCTTGCAATTTATAAACAAAGCTGCTTTACTGTAATTTTGCTACGTTACACACATACATATATATATAAATATGGACACTCTCAGAAAGTTATGATCAGCTTTAAAAACAGGCTTAGAATGAAAATAATAAATCAACCTTAAATGCAGCAACTGCTTCTACTATAACTATATTCATTCAGTTTGCCAGGCATATTTTAAAAAATATAATAGATTGCTACACCTTTTTACCAAGAAGAGATGCATCCTGTGGCAGCTGTCCATCATTAGGCACAGAATCATTTTAGACTTACCTATATGAAAAAACTGAAGCAGACCTCAATCATACCCCCTCAGTAGTGCAGTGAAAGCAGTCTTTCAAATTTTAACTCTTTTTTTTTTTTTTTTCAGCAGGAAATACCAGTCTGGTCTCATAGAGAGTGCTCTGACTTGGATTCATATGACCTGCTTTCTATTCCTGACTCTGGCTCTGGGTGACCTTATGAAAGTTATTTTTATCTACTATTGTTTTTAAATGTGCAGAAAGAGGTTTCCTAGCAGAGTGGGCCAAACATATCCCACCTCAAAAACTTATCCATGAAGAAGCTACACACCTGTACACATACAAATGCCAGTCAAGTGTTTGCCTCAAATAAGCTGCTCTGCCTTTCTCCCTTGTACGCTGTCTCTTAGTTCTTTACAGCATAAGAGTCACAGCAGAGTGCCTAAATAATGTTCTTTAAATATACATAGCTTGAAAAGACTAATTACACATACACATTTCTGCTCCAGTCAGCTGAGGTGATTTCTGAAAGCAAATACAGCATGGTCAAAAATGAGCTTCCCAAAATATTTATGGGCTTACTGTACTGCTACATCCGATACATGATAAGTGTTTTTGGAAAACTGCCTTTCCCTTTAGCAGTATAACTGTCAGACAGCACTTCATACACAGCAACACGAAGTCATTACTTGGGAGATAATCTTTTATATGTTCCTAACAATACGCTCTGAAATCCTACATTTAAAAGGGTTTAAAAACACACAATACCCCAAACCATCAAATAAGCACTAAAAGTAACATGCAGAGCCAGACACAAAACCAGAATGAAAAAGATTTTTTATTATTCTCCTCTGTATTACCATAAATGACATGCTATATTTAATTTTACAGTGCCCCTGGACAAATCATCAAATACTTTAATAACTACACAAACATTAATATTTAAATACAAGAGATCCCCTCAGTTACTGAATAATCATAACTCTGGATTGATAGGGTACTAAATGGAAAAATCTTGTTTAGGCAGTTGTAAGAGGGGGGGAGGGTGTTTAATGAAACAAGTTTGATGGTCTTGTCATCATAAAACTGATAGATATTTGGCACGATTTATATCTTTGCTAAAAAGAAGTTTGAGGAATGGAACAATTGTGGTGAAGATTAATTTTCCCTTCTTCTGCTGTGAGAGGATAGTCCTTTAGGTCATTAGCAGGAATGTGTGACACAGATTGCACTTTACCCATGCAAGCTCCGTGCTGACTCCTGGAAAATGCAGTTGTTGAATAGCTGTGACTTCTATATTGTGGGATGGGTTGCCCAGCTATCATCACAGCTATCTAGACTCATTTTATGAGAGTGATGAATATGGATGTTAAAAGAGACAGCATACAGAATTCTGGCTGTCAGTGTTTGTTAGACCTGACCACCCATTCTACCCACTGTCCTTAGTGGGATTTTTTTTTTTAATTCAGATTTTGTCTTGTTGCTTCAGCCACTCTTCCAATTAAACACTCTACCTAATTATGGAAGTTTGACTACTAAACCACAATAAGAACAGTGAATTGCAGGATATTTTTGATCCCTCCAGCACCACAAAAAGCCCCTCAACAAACAAACCAAAACAGAACAAACAAACTAAACTAAACCAAACCAAACCAAAACAAAAAGACTGAAAGACTTCTCAATCAAAGCCACTCACATAAATGCCTGAACCAAAAGTCCGACACTTGACTAGATTTTTTAAGTCCCCAGATCTGGGACCGTGTTCATGCATATGTACTATGTGTCTCTAAGCACATATGACACTAAGCTAATGATAACATCTGTTCATTTCTGGACAAAGGGTTTGCTTTTATTTGTGTCAACTCATACTCTGCTTGGGTGCCACGGCTTTTGTAGCTAAATGAAATCCTTAGGTGCTGGGAGGTGGGCTTCATTCACTTACTAGTCCCTCATATGATTTGGCTTCATGCCTGTTTCCAGGAGAGTATGTCTCTGTGACACACCTTAACATTTTCTTTTCTATTTTGGTTCTGCAGAGAGTTCCTTTTTATTCTGTGCATTTGAGCTCCATGGAGGTAATATAATTCTAGATGTATTGTGTTTCTCGGACTCTTCTCAACTGGGAAATACCCCTTTGAGGGAAGTTCAAGTAAAAATATGGATGTGTTTGCATTCTAGCTTCATGGGAGCAGAGAGAGAGGAAGTCACACAGAGACATAAGGCCCCCGAATAATAGGACAGGGCTTGTGGGCTGGCAGACCCCGGAAGCAATACCATTAGAGTACTTCTCCAGATGTGGACAGCTGACAAACTTTAATGATGAAGGCTGCATCCAGGCCAGTTATGATGAACTAATTAAATATCTTGCTCCATTTAATAAAGGAAGTATGGAAGAATCCAGAGCTGTCTATAAATCACCTACCCAGTGCCCTGCCAAGCTTCTACGGTGGCAGGAAAGGTGAGCAAAAGAAAAGACAATAGGGCAAAACTAAAGGACTAAGACAAATGGAAGTTTCTGTGCTAGGAAAGAATGGTGTTGTCACCCCATCTTAATGAAAACCAAAATTCTATAGAAACTCTAAAGCTACAGGACCAGAATCAGAGCAAAAAAGTTAGAACACCATAAAAAGTAAGCATAAACACTGCTGCTTAGAGCTGAACAAATTTTTAAATAAGTAATTGATTCTCTCTGTCTCGACTTTATATGCTTAATTTATCATTCAGTTGCTGTAACTTCATTTATTTTTTTCCCCTTTCCTTGTTATAAGGTAGCAATAAAACAAGAAGTTGGAACTGAGTTCTTGATATTAAGAAAAGATCTGATTACTGTCTGAGACTAACTCTGGGCTTGGGCTGCCTCCACCTCTTCTGCTGCAGTAGTAATGCATGCTCCCTTGAGAGGACAGATTTAGTCACTGAGCGCAGCCTCTTCTTCAGAAGAAGAAAATGTAAAGAGACAGCAGTTTCTAGCAATAAAATAAAAACTAAACCAACATAAAACATTTCTCTCCCACTGATTTATTTCTCCTTCATTTCAGCTTTTCTTGAAATGTACAACCCATGCCCATCAATGAGATTTTGAGCTGTTCATGATTATTTGTAGTGCTTGAGAAAAAAGCTGATTTTGCATATATATGTTAACAAAAGAAAATACATTTTCACCTTTTTACTTCACTCCAAAAATCTACCTGAAACATGCCGAGAAACTAGAAATACGTTCTTAAAGATTAATCTCATTTGAAGACATTGAAACACTGGTGAGGAATAAAATTCTACAAAACCATATTACTTTATGGTAAAATTGTGAACGCAGTGTACTGGAATGAGTAATTTAACTCCCCACATTGCACTGTGATTTCTCCCTTCCCCTATATGTGCATGGGTGTTTGTATTTTTGTACAGACGGGCAGCAATAGAAAGCTACTGTAAAAGGATGTTTTAGTGAAGTCTTTCAATTTATTGTTAACAATTTTTTGAGATGCACATACATTTTCCTCATTGCCAAGCATCCTCTTTCAAAGATATCTTCCAAGTCCTACAATCTGAAGGTTAGAGTGTCTTTTGCATATCACTTAACCATTCTGATTGCTTCCTATTCCTTAACAGAAACATAGATAAGCAACTATTTTGTGAAACTGTATTTTGAACATCTGAAGTAATTTCTGGGGCTAGTCCCAAAGTATACTGGAAGCATGAATTAATCCTCTGTGGTATAGAACTCATAAATGGAAATGCTGGAGAAGTCTTCTGTTCACCAATAACGCAACAGAGCTCACAACAGAGAAACTATCTTTTCTTGAGCCTACTGTGAAATAAAAGGTACTTATGTTGTCTATGTTCATAACATCAGTGATGCCCAAAGCAAAGAGATTACAAATATTTTACAGAGTTCTTATCACCAAATATGTACTCACAAGGATACAGAAAGGCAGAAGTTCACATAAGAGCTACAGAAGATGGTCATAGCACTCTATTTACCAGTCTGTTATCTGTTTGTTGCCATAACCTCTCAGAAAGTACAGATTATTGTTCTACACCAAGTTTCCTTTACTTTTTTTTCTAGAGCAGGCTGGATTTTTCTTAGGATGTCACTTTACACTCTTGATATTTAACTTTTCAAATGAAATGAATTGCTGAAAACCGTCTTACACAAACCACGAGTCGTCAAAGATTTTGCAAAAAAAAAGTCCCTGTGGAGATCAAAACTAATTGGCATATGCAGTGGTTGAAATCTTGTCTCCATAATGATTCTATGATAAAAAAGTGCCCTCCTGGATTTAGCATATTCCAGGCGGGATTCAGGGACACATCATGTGTACTGGTTGTGTGTAGCCAAGATACCTTCCCAACTCAATATGGGTCTTTCCTGTGAAAGTCTGTGATACTGGAGAAGACAGTAACCAAAGCTACCATTTTTGCTTCACAGGAGGAACAAACTTAATGAAGATAACTGGTTGCAGAAGTATCAATAAATCAATCAGTGCACACATTTGTTTCACTGTAAGACCAGGGTCTGACACCCTTCAGGCTCAATGAACATTTTTGGACAAACCTATGGATGCCTGTGTCAGGTTGAATAGCTCCAACACTTGCCATTCTTCCAAGAGTCTCTCTTTAAACTGCTGCAGTCCTTCAGCTCTTGTGCTGCTGTTTGTTTCAGGCATAGTCTTTTAACAACACCTAAGTATTTTACTGAGATGTGGTTTATCTTGAGTTGTTTTCCTTCAAACTGATTTTAGTGTTATCCTCTGTTAAGCTAGAGCTATGTTTTCATATTAATACAGAATGCAGATTCCTTTACTGTGTAACTATATTTTGGCATCCCATGTCAGGAAGGTGCATGTAAGTAAATTCCAAAGCTGCGCAGCCTGGAATATCTCCAGGAGGAAAGAAAATATATTTATTTAGGAACATAGAAATAATCTCTATTATTTACGTGCCAGTTAAACTGACATTGGTGCTGTCATTTTTGTCAGATAGGTCTCATTCAACTATGGCAAGAAATTAGTCTCTGTCATCACCTCAGTCACGAGGAATGCCACCAGGCTCCAAGGGACCTCCATCCCTGTGCTCCAGGTAATACAACTGTATCCAAGAGTTTTCATTCTTGATGATTTCTTTCTTGTGTCTCTTGCTGGAAAAGGGTGAAAATTAATGTGTTTCAGTGGTGGATGTAATTACCCTGATCTGTCTGAAGCACATGATGACTTTCATTTGTTTTAAGAGTTGCTGTAAACATGCAAGCAGAGCAACGGTGTACAATGAATATAGAAAATAATAAAATCATCTGGTTTTGATGAAAGTGTGCAAAACTCTAAAGCACACTTAAAAAACATGAATCAAAAGTTTATTGAAAATATAAAGCAGCTTGTCCTCAGCAAATTTATGATTTACATCAGATTAAATGCACCATAACACACTTGGGTCAGTTTAAGAGAGTTGGGTTTGAATATCTGTATCTGAATAATCTGAATAATATGTAAGGTGTAGAAAAAAATGTGCATTTGCAGCAAATCTGCTCTGATGGAACAGCAGCAATAATGAGGTCTCATATCTTTGAGCTCCTGGTGGCATGAGAAGGATCCCAGGGGCTTAAAGATCAGCTGACAGATGGCCCATTTTCCAAGACAGGTAACATGCATGCCTCTAAAAATTTCACTTGAGTATGCTGATATTTATTGCAGGGGGCAAATCCTCCCCAAGCCAGATATCTCCTAAGGCTGCTGAGAAACTACATTCATTGCTATGTTCATTTGTAGGGGGTTTTAGCTTTTAGAGCAAGAGTAACCTGTAAATACCCCAGGGAAGGGACTTTGTCCTGTACCCTGAACCAATTATAAAGGAAATTTTTTTATGGACATAGGAGTACAAGAATCACCACGCTGACTCAGATCTCTCTGCTCCAATGACCCATCTCAGATGGTGGTCATTACCAGATAGCTCAAAGGAAGGTGTAAAAGCTGAAGGACTGCATAGTTAAGACTGGATTAAAACAGGAATGGAGGTCTAACTCACTCTGTAAAGCTGTTATGATCTCTGTGATAATTCTGGATAGTTTAGTTTCAATGCTAAACTGATAAATTCTTGGCATCAGAGACTTCCAGAAGTGAAAGGCTTCCACTAGATAATTACCGGTTACATGACACCATTCCCCCCCCATTGGCTTTGAATTTCTCACCTTTGAACTTCGCTGCATGTCATTTTGTTCTTGCGTCACGATATGGGGAGAACAGAAATTCCTGACCTACTTTTCCTATTCTATTCATCATTTTGTATCGTATTATCCTCTCCCCTCTTATTTGTCTAATTACTTAATTAAGAACTCCTCCATCTACTCAGTTTCTCATCAGCTACTTTACTTAAAACCACAGCACTTGTTTTTTCTGGTGACTAAATTATATGCTACAGACAGGAACAGGAGAAACTGAGGTGCCCACAGCTCCTTGCGGGGGCAGGGAACTGATTGTATGACACAATTTTTTGTCACGTACTCCTCTAATAATATTATGTTGAGTGAAAGTCCTTGTTGGTCCCAGGTCTACAAGATGTCCAGGTCCTATTCTGAGCTGCTACCTCTTCATGAAAGCACAAAGTACTCAATTATATCCTGACAGAACAGACCAGGAAGGAAAGAATTCCGTGCCTTCTTGTATGATTTCATACAGAAGCACCAAATGCAACCAAGTCCTGCCAAAATAATGAAGAGACATTGACCATTTGATACAAAATAAGATCTCTCAAAATGCCTTTTTTTTTTTTTAACCCTAAAACAAAGAAAAAACCTATTTGGAAGAAAAGTTTTCACTGTAAGACAAAATGTCTTTCCTGTGTCCAAAACACTTATATAACAGGAATGAAGTAATGACACTGAACTTTTGTCTGTTCAAGATAAAAATCACAAATTGCATGGCTAGAACACCGTTTTTCAGATGGTCCATTCACTGGAGCTTGGCTACTCATAGTCTTACTGTATTCCCAGTTATGTGGTGTTGAAGCAGAAGTGCTGTGCAGTGAAGATTCAAGGCAGTGCAAGAGAGAACAGAATTGGGCCCTCATGAAATCTTAATGCATTGTGAAGCTTTTCAGCTCACATACATACCCCAGTGAGACTGGGAAAAGCCTAGTTCAAAACTGTCTAGCAGTGAGAGGATATGGTTCAGTTCTGCTGTGATCTAATGAAAGATGAACCAAGCTTCTTAGAAGTCTCATAGGATTTTTACCTCAGTTGTTATAGACAGGTATGTAGTTAGTATATCTAAGCTGAAAAAGAGGGGGGAAGAGAAAGGTCTGGAATTAATTAAATGTCTTCTCTTGGAATAGCCTCATAAAACTTTTGTCTGATTGAAGTCCCTACAAATAAGAAAAAAAAGCCTGCCTACTAAAACACTAAAAATAAAGTTAAACCAAAGATGTTTTAAAGATGGTACCTTGCAAGTGAGAGAATTCCATGAGCTTTTGGCTTAGTGGGTTGACAGCCTTTTCTAAAAGGCAAACACTTGAAGGTTCAGGTTTAGGACAGGTTGTTAGTTGCCCAAATTCACTGAGTGCTCCCAGAGGTTGTTGTATGCTCCCAGAGTATGTGGTTAAGGGCTTGCTGCTCAGACGGGCTACAGAGAAACACTCAGAAGACCCTCCATGCTGAGGGTCTTCTGATTTATTTATATGAATAAGCCACCAGGCCCAGACTATGCTCTTTAGACACTACTCATTTGTAGGTGGTTCTGCACATTACTCTTTCCTTACAACCACCAAACAAATTAATATTAGCATAGATATGCAAGACTGTTGCTTTTCTTAAAAGCCGAGCATTCAGTGTTTGAGGGCTTTGGGATGTAACCTTAGGAAAGTAGGGTTCACACCAGAAAGCATTTAAGGAAGGGACAGCCATGAGTCTGGATGATATTGCTGACTGTGAAATACTATACTGACTGTGCAAATACAATAGGATTGAATATCTTGTTTAAGCTGGTGGACATGATGGGAAGGGATTACATCTTAGTTTCTCCATGTAATGACCACATTGTAAAGGGTGGACTGCAGATGAGTTGGGCTTGGGCCAGTGGATGCTGCAGGAACTGCCTACTGATGTGCAGAAGGGATGGGGCATGTTTGACAATCAGTTTTTAGTGCTTTGAAGTTAATCATTACTTGTAGTCACACTGCATATATTTTTGTCAGCAGTGGACAGGTAATGACATACAAGTGTGTCGGGTTTCTCTGTCTCCCATATGCATTATCTTCCCTTTGGTGTGAGTGGGAGTGAACCAGAAGTAGTCATGAGATGAACTAATTTCTTCTATAGGCTTGAACTCAACTTCCTAAATTAATCCAAGTTGCTTTGCCTTCACTGTTACTTTAACTTAATTTGGCTAACTCTGGCTTGCTCACGAAGATGGAACGCAGCTTCTTCTTAATTGACTGTGACGTGCACAGCTACTCTATTTCTTTTAACCTCAGTTTAGTTGCTTACCAGCTATGAATAGAGGCCTGGTTATTTGATCCTGGCTACTATTATTTTTCCAGTGACAAAAAGAGAACAACCACATCCAACTTCCCAAGTACCAGTAAAACTGGAGGTCAATTGACTGGATATAGGAATATGCTTTTTTGCAGGCAAATCCTGAGTTAGATCACAATTTATTTATTTATTTTTGTCATCAGCAGTAGCAGATATTGACTGCCAGTCACACTGGCTCCCAACTGGCCTTAAGAAGACCTGGCCTCCAGAGCCATTTCCTTCTTTGAAAGGATGGAGATATTCCTACCTGAGAGAACTCTGTGAGTCTTGAGTGGAACTGATCACTTGTTTTTTTCTGTGTTGTATAAGGATGGTGCTTGATCAAGTAAGTTTTGTAGAGCACTGAGTCAGCAAACCCTCAGCAGCTGAGTGTTCTGTAGCAGGACCAGGAACCAAGAGTTAAACATAGCAAGTAGGAAGACAGATGTCTCAAGAGATGAGCAGTCATTTCTTCTCTAAAAGTGGCACAGTATCCAAGGGGAGTAACCCAGGAGGGATTTTGTCATGCCTTCACATAAACTGAGCAAGGCTTAGGTATAAAACATCCCCAATGAGAAGCTAAGCAGCATTCTGTGGTGCGAAATGTCACCTCTGAATGAGAGTGACAGTGGCAAGGAGGTATTCAGAGAGAAATGGTTGAAGAGGAGACTGCTCTTGAAGAAGGACTGACCCACCACCATGTGTCCAGCTCTCCATTCTCTGTGATAGTGCTCACAGGAGTAACTGGAAGAGGCTGCTTTAAAACAGCCAGTGAATGCTAAACAATGTGCTTGCTGTTCCAGGATAGCCAGACATCCACTATTTTCTGGGTAGCTCCATGCCACAGGTCACTTCCCAATTGTCAGTGCTCTCCAGCTGCCCTCATTTCACAGGCTCCTCTATGAAATTGCTCCAATAAGGCAGTAGAACTGCAGATGCCCTTGGCATTTGGAAGAGACATCTGCAACATTTGATTTTCTTTTGCTTCCTTCTGCTTCCTTGCCCTGTTATCCCTGGATTCTGCCTCTGCCTCTTTCTTAGTTCTGTCCCTGTACCATCCACTTTGGCCAAAATGCTCCAATTGTCTCTGAAAACCCTCTGCTTATATGCTGAACATCTCTGTATGAGCAGACCTCATTATCATGTGGCAAGAGGTCATTTACATATGCAAATCAGGTTAATGAGAACAGAACTGTAAAAGGCTTCATTCCAGAGGCATTTGCATATCTAGCTTTAGAAATATTTGAGTGCTCTGCCCCTAGCTGTGCAACCAGGACACAGAAGCCCTGGCAGTATGTCTTCAGTGGTGATTATATCCGCAGACAGCTGCCATCCTGGTTTGCAACAGCCACTATCCGAGGTACTGGCTCGTTTGAACACAGAGGGTAGTTGTGTAATGTGTGCTTCTGCACCAGACTACTAAGAAGCAGTTAAGCCTTGGCCCTTATTGGGACAACATGTGGGCTTCTGACAGGTAGATATATGCATTTTAGCATGAAGAATACAATTTCCTACGGTGCTGTCACTAATGCACGCCTGGTGTATGATGAATGAGGAAAACAATGCAGGTACCAGGCGCGGCTCTCTAAGAATATATTGTGTGTGACACGGCACCACGCAAAATGCTGACCGTGTTTATTCTCTAACTAAGTGGGCCTCCAGCCCCCAGAGTACCCGGAGGGATCTCTTTTGGATGTTTGTAAATTACACATGAGAGAGCCCAAACTCCCTTCTCTGCCACAGATCCTGGTGCCTCTCTTGGATGGGTTCTGGGCAAGCATGTTAGGTGCCTTCTGGGTGTCTAACTGTGAAGCAAATTTGCACAAAAAGTTCCTTAGAAGAAACATCTTTTTCTGATCCCTTTTTTTTTCTGCTGGGTTTTTTTTCAGGAAGGAATATGAATGCTTTTTCACTGTAAAGCTTTCTCAGGTATTGTTCTCTGCCAGGGACTTCCATGCCTGATTCCAGATAAAAAAGGCGATTACATCATAATTTCTGAGAAAGGCTACTGATTTTCCCTTTGCTTCTGCCCTGTCCTTCTGACTAAGCTAATCAAGTTTCTGGCACATCCCAATGACTAATATCAGAAAAGACACTCCTTCTTGAAGGAGGTAGTTCTCTGCCTTGACACACTACCTCAACCTACACAGCTGCCAGGCAAATGCCAGGTGGGCAGCTTCAGAGTGTCTGATACAACCCTTACCACCTGGAAACAGAGGGAGGCTCTTACAAGTTCCCCAGAGCAAGTTATGGATGTCCCTGTGCCCTCTATCAGTAGGGAGAGCTCTGCACATCTGGCAGTCAGATAAACACACAGCAACTCAGGGTGCTTGGTACATGGTTTTGGTGATGACCCTGTATGGAATGAGCTGGGATCTTTGCCAACCTCCAAAGTACAGGATCTAAAGTGAACTGCACAATTAATGCCCTCATTTTATCTCTACCTCCACTTATTCTTAGAAACATGCAGATCATGTAGAATAATTTACCATATTTCAAATAATACTGTTCAATAGTTCAACAGAATATACAGTTCCATATGCTACTGTCCATGTTTTTTCTCTCATTTGGCCTTGCACTTCCAACTCTAATGCCTCAGCGTGGCTCAAACTCCACTGCAGTAACTCCTTTGAGTGATTCCTGTATTGCAACACTTTGCCTGTAGCTATTCTCAGCAGCTCTGACATGACAGACAAGATGAATTATCTGTGTCTATAGGAGCAAGAATAGCTCCTACACTTTTGTGGAGGAGGAACCTGGGACCAAGCTGGTTCCTCCTCTCAGCTGATGGCTATCACAGAAGATTCTTTCTGTCCGTACACAATAGACAGACACTTTGGCATTTGCCTACTTTATGACACATCGGTGGATGGACAACACTATCTAATAAATGAGCTGCTTTTTGCGTGGAGTTGGTCTGCAGACTGAAGATGAGATTCTCACACCTGTAATGAAGCACAAATTTACCAGTGTGCCTGAATGTCTGGATATCCCTTAAGGCCTGTGCATTCACATGCCAGAGGTACAGCTCTGCTGCTGAGCAACCTATCTTATTGATAGCACAGCTGGATGTGGTCATGACTTCATCACTGACAGCTCACAGCTATAAGAATCCCTTCTTGTTTAAGAGCACTCAGGACTGAGCAGTCAGCATCCCTGCTGTGCCCCTAGATTGTCACCTTTGGAAGCTGATCTCTCAAAAAAGCATTCCATCCGTTTCAGAGCAGAATTGTTCTCCTCTGTTCAACAAACTCTGCCACATGGGTTTGCTAAGAGAGGAGAAAAGCAAAATACAAACTGCTAAAGTAAATACCTGTAGGACTAATGAAAGTTGAAGTCAGTTTTCCATGTTTGAATTCTACTTTTCAACTATGGAAATTCAAATTTAAGTAGCTCAAACTTACCATCTTGTCTTTGTTGTTTCTGGATGTGTGTCTTTGTTTCGCTGAATATCACGTTTAAAGCTTCTCACACAGAATACAATTTGCCTCCTTGTGTAGCGTGAGAGCAGAAGCCAGAGATTCTGTTTAGTAAACGACGGCTTAGGAGGTGTTCTGTTTTACATAAGCAATAGCCTAAAAGCAGCCAAACCAGAAGGGCAAAGAAAATGTAATCATTTCTAGGAAAAGGGAGCAGCCCTCTCATTATCTTTTATTTGTTGGAAATATATGTATGGATTTTTTAAAAGTATTAATAACAAACAGTTTTTCACTCAACCACTTTTCACATGTATATCTTCCACATTTTGCTTAGAATCCTGCCCTTCCCATCTTAAGAGCACTGAACTGATTTTATTGCCAATTCTGAAAAGTGTTAACAGGAGTAAATCACTCCTCAAATTACTGCTGTTGTTCCCTTGCCCTGAGCCAAATTCACTGCTAAGCACCTCTGACCACATAGCCCATATAAATGTTCATAATAGAGGAAGCGCCTCACATCTGCTTATTCTCACAGAATTAGGAAAAAAAACTTACGAAAACCTATGTCATTGTAGTTTTTGATATATAAAAACATATAGATTTGGTTATAACTTACTTCTTCATACCATATGCTCAATATTCAGCAGAAAAATTAAAGTCAGATATGCAGGTGCCAAAAAAAGTGCATAAAATTAAGAAAAAAAAAGAAAAAAAGAAAAGAGGGAAACTAAAGCTGTTTGGCGGTGTCAATTTTCATTGTGCACTACATTGTGGAAGAGCTTTTGAACTCTGGTATGGAGGAGCTTTATTAGAAACCAATTCTCCTCAGACCTCTAGAGGCCTAGTCCTATACAAGAGCAAGCCAGGTGCCAAAAAGAAAGAAGGAAACTCATATAGAAGTGTGTTTCTAAGGTATGAGCCAAACACAGTGAACTGCAGCAAGAATTGCTACCGATGAGTCTAAAATATTCCTACAAAAAATGAAAGATGTTTCTTACTTTCCATCTCCTATATTCATTTCCCCTATTTTATTTTTCACTCGTAACATGTCCCTTGTTTTTGCCACTCTTGTGATACACTATTCCTTTTCTTCCTTTCCTTTTCTTTTCTTTTCTTCCTTCATCTTTTGCTCTTCTAACGTCCTATTTCTCCTTCCTAATTCTCATCTCACAGTCTATCTCTGTGCCTTATTAACCTCCTTTCTTTGTTCCCTCTTATTTACCTCCTTTCCTTGCTCCCTCTGACTTAGAGTGGCATAAGCTCATGTAAAAGCTTAACAATGTAACTATGAACTTCAGACAAAAAAGTGAAGTAGCAAATTACTTTGTATTATATTAGCTGGAATTAGAAAGCACTGTTACAGAATTCCAGCTCAATAGAAGTGCCGTCACTTAAGTATCTGGACAGCTGGAAGTTTCATTTCATTTTCAGTGCTGCACTTTGCTCAGTTTTTGCTGATAGACTGACAAAGCCACCTGGTTGAAAATGAAATTATTTCAACAACTGTGAAATACTGCATTACATAACGGCCAACATAAAGCCATCATTCTCTGTGTTTACATTGGTACTGATTCTTAACAGCGTGCTGTTAACTCAGCATAAAGGTCTGCTGCTCTAAAACAATTCAGGTACAAGGACAACTCTTTTACAGCCAATCATGCTTTGCCCCTATAAAGAATTATTATATCAATCTAAACTGGCATGCAAATTAATGTTCACCCCTCAGCAGCTTAAATTTACATTGTGACCCACAGACTTTTCATATCCCACCACTGAGAATCATAACTCCATGATCACTACATGCACATCCACACTATCCCAAGAATCAATGGCTGCTACAGCCTTACACATATTATCAAATCCAGTTGCTTGTCAATTAACCCAGTACGACATCTGCATGAAGGATTTAAATAAGGAGCATCATATTATGCTGTGTGGTCGATAAAGCGAAAATGCAGGCACAGACAAGGCTTACCATTTGGCCTGATACCACAGCATCCGTCTCTCTGAATGGAAGTTATTTATGCTCCCACTGAATTATGGCTTGTATTCAAATATTGGCAAGGATGCAATGTACAAAAAGTGTAACATCTACAGTATGCTGTGGTTGGCTATAGCTCTTGGGGATCTCTTAAAAGGGTAATTTCTCCTTCAGGAGCGTGGCTGTCAGTCCGGGACTTGGGGGTGGATCCTTTTAATCTCAGAAAAAAGGTACTACTGAAAAAATTACAGGAGGAGCAGATGTGTTCTTCAGCACATACATGTACAGCGGAAAGAACACCTTTCACAGCACTGGCTAAATAGAAGCTCTATTAGAAAGAATCCTGACTTTTATAAAGTGAAATGAGGTTCAGCTTTTTCTCCATCAGGAAAAGCAGATGAGCTGATGAGAATAATGAAGTGCATCACATTGACAAAGGAGTTGAATCTGGACACTCTAAGAGAACTAAACTCCTTTATAATTTAAAATAACAAAACTGCCCCCAGTACAATGAGATGTCCCACATACAATCAGTATGAGCACACAGAACAACCGTCCTCCCAGTCAACAGCAACTGCACTGTTTTCTCCAGCTGGAAAGACATCTCCTGCTCTTGAGCAAACTGGTGATCCTCAAGTTGCGAGTGAGATAAAAGGAAATCTCTCCCACTGAAGAGTTGCAAACAAGTGAGATAAAGTAAGTTTAAAGGGTTCCTGGTATGTTTAGCTCAAATGTTGGGCTCTGCGTCAAATAACTTGTTATTGACTTAACCATGATGGAATGTTTCCATTAAGAAATATTGCAATGGAAACAACTTAATTTAAGACAGAAGTAGTACCTGCGGAACAAACTTGTGGCATAGTGCTGCTGCACAAGCCAGGCATGATGCATATTAGAAGAAAGAGAGGCTGTCTAGTGTTTTTCCATTGCTCAGCTCAAAAGAAACTCAGAAAAGAAACATGGGTCAAGACCTAAAATTTGGGAACTGAGTATCTACATATGGATTGTAAAAACCACACTATCACTGACTTCAGTAGCAGATTGATTACAGACATCAGTGCCCATATCCACTGCCTTCAAGGGATTAACACCACAGGCTATAGACACACCATCTATAACGCTGCTGCTTCTTTTGAGAAAGCACGCAGGATCACTCTCGAGGAGAAAAGACAATGCAGAAAGAATCGTGTCTTGCAGAATATACCACCTAAGGAGTCTTTCTGCTGTGCCTTTTGCAACCAGACGTTCCTATCTCGTATTGGCCTTTTTAGCCACCAGCGCGCTTGTAACAAACGTGGGTAGAGCCCTCCATAAATCTCCGGTTCGTGAAGCCCAGCCATGATGAAAGGCTTGAACCATAGGCTATAAGGTTCCATAAAAAGTTTCCTTCTACATCCCTTTCTCCCATAAAATAATATTTCAAACTCTTGATAGTTCACATATGAATGCATGACATAATAAGCCCTATTAAAGCATACAAAGACAACTTTCAAGTCACTCCTGAACACTCTCAAAATTTGGGAGCTCCCTAAATTTGAGAATTTGGCTTGGTACTGCAGGACAGCAAATCAAAATGTTTGCCTCTGAATTCCCTAGGTCCCCAGGTGTCCAAGGGTGAGGCCTCATAAGAATTGCATATCTTCAGGAAACAGGCAGCATAAAGACCAAAGAGCTTTAACAAGTGAGAACACAACCGAGATTTTGGCTTTATAAAAACTTAGCTGATTTAATAGGAAAGGGCCTGTCTGAAACAGAAGCTAAAATGAACCCTCTTTGCCTCTCCCTTTTGCTCAACTTTTAAATTAAGTTCACAGCATTATACGTAGTCCTCTACTCTTGTTTAAAGCTCAGATGATTTTGTCCATGCTAAGAATGTATTTTATTGAATATTGACTTACATGTTTTGCAACATGCTTATTCCTGGGGTAGATGGAGCCACTGAGAAATGAGGCTGCCATGGAAAACTGGAAGATTCACAAGGACCGTAGGCTGCATCTTTGAAAAGTGTTGCCATGGTTGCAATGGAGCGAACCTACCCCTTCCTCTGGTTCTGCCACAGAACTTGGAGCCCTTGATGAGGTGGATGTTATAACCAGCCAAACAAGGGGACACAAGGAGAGGGAAACAAGAATATAACTGCAGAGAGATTTGGGAGGTCAATGCATGGGTGCCCCAAACTGTGATGTTAGCAATGCAGCCCCTTGAGGAAGGATGACCTCTCCTCTCAAACCACATGGCAAATATCTTCTGAAAGGTGAAAAGTACTTGTAGGACTGTGTGTGTAGGTGGAGGCTGTTAGCCTGACCATGATAAGGTCAGGAATCAAAACTTAAGAGACAGATGAATATTCTCATGGTAAAAAGTAGGAAAGGAAAATTTTCTTAATAGGTATGGAACTATACAAAAGTTGTATGATGGAGAACTGTTGATGATGGAGAACTAAGAAAAATCAAAGTAAACCTCTGTAAACAATAATCTCTTCCACTTGGTAGATTCTGTATGAAGGTATCTGAGAAAAAAAAGGGGCTGAAATACTCCTGAAGATCTCTCCCATAGCAAACTGAAAAAAGCTACAGCATGCTACAAACAGCTAGAGAAAATGGCCTCTCTCCTAGTACAACACAGCCTTTGAGTGAGATACTAACCTGTAAAAATCATAAATTACTTATTTTTACAGAAATCATCCAGACAGAAATATATACTTAGCTACCAAAACTACACTTCCTCAAAGCACCACAAGAATAAATACACACCTTGATTTTGCAGAGAAAACTACCATGACTCTGTGTAAGTGTAAACAGTGTAAGCAGCAAGTAATAACGCTTTTTTGTCTCACCTTAAAATATATTGGAGACATCCGAGCAGAGAAACAAGTACTTCTGTAAGCTGCACAAGTCTTTTTATCCCTGTCTCATATTAAGTATTGCTAGGCTATAAAGAATCAGGGACACAAGTATCGAGAGAGCTAAAATAAAATAATACCAATGACGGTCACAATAATACATTTATGTCTCTTTTCCTTTTGGTTCCAGAGCTGCTACAGCACACAACATAAGTTTCTGCTGCAAATAACAGGACCAGAAACAGACTTTTGTCCTTTTAGGTGAAAGCCAAAATTCTTACTTGAGTTATGGAACTGGAGCTTTATAGAATTTCTACCACAGAACATCAGTATCACAGAACAATCATGAGAGCTGCCGATACTGTATTATGGAAAGTACACTTAGGAAACGAGTAAAAATTGTGCACCAGCATAAATCACAGCCACACCTTATTCAAAAAGAGCCACACGATCAATGTCAAAAATGGGTAGAACTCCCAGTAAGATGTGTACTTGTAAATTAGTGGATGAAATTTAATATATAAGGAAATAAACACTGCATAGTGCAGGAGATGGCTCAGGGCAGGGTAGCATCCACACAAAAAACCCATCTCCCATTTCACTGAAATCCCCAAAGAAGTAACGGCGAGTGATAGCCATCGATGAAGAGCTTTTGGCTGGCTCACCTGAAATCACGTTGGCAGAACATACACCAGTCTCAGCTCTGCCGAACCAACAGGCCAGCTTGTGTAGGATCCCAGCCTGAGCAGGCTCAGGCGAGTTTTATGGCACTTAGGGGAACACATGTGTGCACTTTCAGAAAGGAGCTCAAGGCTTCAAAGGGCAGGCACTGCCTCAGCCCCTGCTCCTGAGTGAAGGTCTGTGGGTTATCAGAAGTGGGGGCCACGGGGTACCATGGCTCTCAGTACTCAGCACCCCCAAAGCAGCATGGCCCCTGCCCAGGGCCAGCCTGTTTGGCTTAAGAAAAGACACTGACAGGGGACCTAGTTGATGTGTGTATATATCTGTAGGCAGGGTGCCAAGAAGATGGAGCCAGGCTCTTCTTGATGGTGCCAACCACCAGGACGAGGGGCAACGGGCAGAAACTTGATGCACAGGAAGTTCCACCAGATCATGAGGAAGAACTTCTTTACTGTGCCGGTGACCCCGCACTGGAACAGGTTGCACAGAGAGGTTGTGGAGTCTCCCTCACTGAGAGAGGAGATATGTGAATATCTGTGGAGATATTCAAGTACGTCTGGACACAATCCTGTGCCATGTGCTCTGGGATGACCCTTTTTGAGCAGGGAGGTTACACCAGATGACCCACTGTGGTCCCTTCCAACCTTGCTCATTCTGTCATTCTGTGATCCTTTACGTAGCATAAAATTAGATTTCTGTTCCTTTTTACACCTTCGTGGCCATTTGTTCCAAACCGACAAAGCGTTTCTAATTTAGAGATGTTGAAGAGGGGTGAAGCCGCGGGCCGAGGCCTGCCGAGGGGGCGCGGCAGCCCCGTGAGGGGCTCGGCGGGAGAAGCCTCAGCCCCGACCCAGCCGTGACTTTCCGAAGCTGCAGCCGGCGGTGGGAGGATATGTGCCGGCCCTAAACCCACGGAGGAGCGTTCTCCGCTGAAACCTCCGCCTTCCCCTGACGCCACCGAGGCAGCTGGAGGTGCGGCCCCCCGCCCCGCCGCTCCGGGGCGATCCAGGCCGGGTTTCGCGGGCGGTCGGGCCCGGCCGGCGGAGCCGCGCTCCCCGCGGCAGAGCAATCGCGGCCGGGGCGCGGTGGTGCCTGCGCCGGGCCGCGCTCTGGAGGGGGCAGGGAGCTCCCAGCGGGAGCCGTGAGGGAGGACTGTGTCCTCGGCCCGCGTCCGCCGCGGGAGCGAGCAGCATTCCGAGTTGGAGCCGGCTGGCCGCGCCGTGCCCGGGGCTGTTCCGCCCCTCCCGCCGCTGCTGGCGGCCGCGGGGCGCGGGCGCTCGGGCTCTTGGCGGAGCGACCCGGAGCCGGTCCCGGGTCCCGCGGGCTATTCCCGCATATTGTTTCCCTGAGAAGTGCCGGGAGGCGGGGGTTGGGAGGGGGGATCTGTCCGCAGTTGCTCCACGTGCATCAATAGTTGTCAGTAACATCAAACTGACGTCATCCTCGGGTAAAAAGATCTCTCTTTTGTTCTCATTCCCTCCCACCACTTCTCCCCCCCCCGCCACCCTCCCCCGCCCCCCCGCCCCCCCTCTCGCCTTGAAAATCAAAAGCCAGAACATTTGCAAAAAATAAAAATAATAAGAACTCCTCTCCCCCACGTTAATTGCAATGCAAAGGGAGATGTTGCATTACGGATCCTGCCTGGGCTGTGCTGGGCTCTAATGAATGCGCCGAGCCTTTGATCTGGGTGAGTCAGTTGGGTTCAGTTGTGCCGGAAGGTTAGTTGCACATCCTGGCTGATCTGAAATTCGATCAGCAGAGGGGGCAAAGAAAAAGAAAAGCATTTTAATGGGAATCAATAGAGGATCATAGGGTCCTGGAAGGAAATAGGTGTTGATTAAAGATGCTGTGTGGGTTTTGTTGGCTTTTTCTTTTTTTTTCTTTTTTCTTTTTTTCCCCATGTACACGACTTGTTTAAAAATAAATAAACACCAAAAGCAGCCCGGCAGAAACGAGAGAAGGCAGGCTGGAAAACAGCTTTCCCAATCACCCGTGTGTTTGTGTTCCAGGGAGGCAGTCAGCAGACCGAGAGTTTGTGCAATGCTTCAAGCTACAGCGCGCAAATTTAAAGCAGTAGGCTCCAAAGGATAACTCCGGTTCTTACTGCACTGCATTTCTGTGCCTGAGCTGCTTACTCGTGCATTATGAAATAAGCCCAAAACATTCCTCTCCCTCTCTCCAAGCCAACTTGTTTCTTCTCCCCTCCCCGCTCTCCTCTTCTTTCCTGCCTGCTGCCGAGCGACAGGGATTCGTGATACCCGACACGAAGGGGTAAACCTGTTTTGTTGAGGTCACAGGGTTTTATAGCTAAACTTTCTAGGCACGTTTTCACCGTTTAGGAAATACCGAGCTGGAACGTTCTGTGTATGTTGCCTGACTTTACGTGAAAAAGAGGGAATTACAATTGTGTTGAACATTTTTTCACTCAGAAGGAGGTGAGTCAACTTCCTACACAAAGACTTGAATCACCTGCTCTGCACATTGCGATAAAATTGGGCCTCTGTTCCATTCATGTGTTCGTGCACACATGCACACACAAAAATGGGGATTGCAGTTGAAGAACAGGGAGAAGAGCTGTGGGCGGAAGGCTGAACATTCCTGGCATGAGTATGTGCTGTGTGTCATCATAGAAAGAGGGCATTGCTGAGCCATGGCGGTCATGTTTTTATCCAAATGGGAAACCTTCTGATCAGTTCAAGTTTCTTGTTGAGATATCATTTGTTCTGGTTTTGCCTTCTGACATGGCTCTCCCTAGCTGCTGTTAAAGACTTCAGTACAATTCAAAACTGTTGCTATTAATCGCATTACGGTGGTATGTACAAGTCCCATGGAGAGCATGAATTCAGGCAGATGCTCATTAACAGGCAGCTTTTCAAATGGGGAGACAGAGTGAGAGGAGAGACCTCACTGATGTAAGGCCAAAGAGGTTTCCTGACTCCCAGGTAAACTTAGGCCGCGTTGTCTCACCATGTGGTGTTTTAACATCCTTATCAATAGCTGAATTACAGTCACAGTGATGACTTCCATTCTGAATAAGAAATAGGAAACATTCTATCTTTATAGTTTTTGCCCAATGTTTGTTTAAACAAAAAGTGTTTGGGGGCTCATTTTTGGGCGCTCTGGCAAATACTTATCATAATTTGCCTCCAACTGAATTAAGCATTTGTTTAGTCCACTGTGAGATCTGGTCATTTTAAGATCTTTTTTTTTTTCTTTAGAGGAATGATGGTGAGGCATAGGTACCAGGACCAAGTTTGGCATTGACAAATATGCAGGTAGTATCAATATATGTCTGTCTTAGTCAATCCTTATTTCAGTGGTCTTTGGAGAAAACTGGTGGAAAGGCAGTGTTAGACAACATGACAACTTGAGGATGACCATTTTATAATAATATGAGGACTTATTCTCCTGTTAGATGTAATTAATTTATTTTAAAATTATGATGACAACAATAATAAACTATTTTCTGCAAAATAAAGTGCAGTACAATGTGGAATATAATATTTGCCATTGTCACGTATTATCCTGCAAACACATGGAAGACAATGGAAGGTCATATATCTAAATTAACTCTTCTAGGTTTGTGCTCATGGAAGGTACCAGATTAATAGCCTAGGAGAATGAAGGGCTTCTTTTATTGTCAGAACAGGTACAATCATGGGTTCTTTCCCACACCTTACCTTACTCGTCACTGCCTAAAACCATTTTTGGGATAGACCACAATTACACCCAGAACCTGCATAGACTTGTGTTCTTAAATTTATTTGTAGAGCTAAGTCATTAGTACTAAGAGGCTGTGGAGACCTGAGAGGCTGCGGAGGCTGAGCTGAGAATGCTAAGAAAGTTGTGAATTATTCAATTTTTATGTGGATACTTCTGAAATATCACTGGAACATTTCATATAAGCCAACTTCCAGCAGATTACCTGCTTCCATCCTGGCCTAGATTTGATCTATGAATGAATGGCTCTCAAGCTCTTAAAAATGCCCTGGGCAATCCTGTTTTATTATCGCCACCATTGTTTTTCCATTCAGATACCACAGGGATGAACACAATCAGTGGAGAAAATGAAAATCAAATTGCCTACCACGAGCTGACCATATGGGGCAGCTGGTTGCTGCTTCCCAGCCCCCTACCTGATGTCTCTTCCCTGCCTCCGATGATGTGATACTGAGCGCTAGTCAGTCCCTGTCACCCCTTCCAAATTTGTTTTTATGCGGCAGACAAGCAGATTTCCTCAGGTTTTACATTTTCTGAGAATGTATCCTCTTTTCCCTCCAGTTTCCTTGGGCCTCTGCAGGCTAAAACTCTTTGTTTGGTGTGCCCCCCCTCTACTCCCCCCTGCCTACTTCTGCTCCCTTGCATATGAACACTGGGCCTAGAAATAAGGAAAGGAGGCCAAGAGGAAAATGTGTCTCACTGAGACTTGCCAGATATCCGAGTTGCATGTGGAGAGACAGAGTTTCAGCTCATGTATCTGGCTCGGACAGCAGTGTAGACCATTAAACATCCTGTTGCCTGTCTTGTGCTGGACAGACAGCACAGCTCTTCATGCTGACACCTGGAGGGGCTGGAAGGACTGGAGGAAAGGGAGTTATTGCTGTGTTGAGTTGGTGGGTTATTTGTGATTTCTGTGCCCAGGAATGCATTTTATGCTACAGCTGAAGAATGAGGACACTGGGAGGAAGAGAGGTATCTGCAATCAAATACTATCACTTGTCAGGTTAAAGAGCACAGTGCAGGTTTCTCCCTGCCAGCTTGTCCCCTTGGAGTCTCTGTCCCTTGATTTCTGCAGGGTTCCACAACAGTGATGGGTAGTAAGTTGTTATTATTATTATTATTATTATTATTATTATTATTATTATTATTTGCTCATTGCTTCATGGCAGCTCACATGATCCAGTAAAAACTGTATCCCACTGTGCTTGGCACTGTGTAAACTGTGGTACTGTGTCCTGCCACCCGAGGAATTTACAGTCTGAATAGACAAGGCCAACAAGGGCATGAGACAGAGTCATACAGGAAAAAACCCCAAGCAACTACCAAACAGAAATCTCCATGTATTAACTTACAGACTGTCTGGTTTTTGACAGTTCCAGAAAGGGTACAGTTTAAAATACCTGTGTTGCTAGATAAAAACACCCTCCTCCCCCAGGCATATTAACAAAAATTAACAGGAAAAGTGCCAAGGTGCTTATGCCGTGGTACCTTAACACATTTCACTGTGCTTCATTGTTCTCAGTCATTGTTCTCGGATCATGGAGCACACAGATTGTGTAATACCTCTGACTATTCTGGGACACTTAGTTTAGCATAGTTACTCTCAGTGGGGTGAAGGAGAAACTCTGCAGTAGCTTTAGCTGAGCGTGTTTTACTGCTTTGTGTCCTGACTTCCAGTAATCTTTGAGAATTTGAGGACATGTATACATTCATCTATCTGACAGTTTTGAAAATGTGAGTGTTCTAAAGGTTAGTCATGTATTTTTACATGTATATTTGATCTGTCATTTATTTTGTACAACGGAATACAGCACTTGCATACAAACACCATTTTACTGACTTTGGATAGAAGGTAGCTAGCAGCATGTGCTTCCATAAAAAAGCAAAGTACCAAAGCTCCTGGCTTCTCCTGTGCTCTGATGGAGAAGCCGTGGAGAGACAGAAGAGCAATTCCAAATTCTGTGCTGTGAATGCTTTCCTTTCCCACCGGCTGGCTACATCCATGCGTGTAGAGCTTTTGATTAGATCTGCTGTTTTGCCTATGGCAATCTTCACTGCAAACG